TCAGCAAACATGGTCGTGGGGTGCATTCTCTGAGAGGTCTGGTCACCAGTTTCCCATTCCAGCTCACATTACCGCCCTCCAGATTCATGCATGTGTGGCATAATCTCCAAGCTCTTTCCGTTCCCCTCACCACCGGCTACAAATCTCCTTCCCAGCAGCCCCCTCACCACCCTAGAAATGTCTTCACACTGCTGCCTCTCAGAGGGGAAAGACTGACCTTGACGACAATTCCCTCTCTTAAACGCAGATTACACCAAATCTTTCTCCAGCACAAATGCTTCCAGAAATCCATTTTTCCACCTCTGATGGTTTTGTATCTCAGCGGCAGCTATTCAACAACACAGGACACTCAGATTACAGTCAAATTTACTGTGAGGCAGCATAAACACTTCTTTATCTCATTAAGCATGAATGGATTCATGAACATGAATATTCAAACATTCACATGAATATTCACAAAGTACCGCTCAGTTTCTCAACCTTTACTCTTTGCTTCTTTCTTCAGTCGCACACACACTAATCACATGCATAAACACAGGTGAGCGGGGTGTCTTTTTCTTGAGTTTTCTAACAATTACAATCAGCCCTTTCAGCAGAGATCTGCAGCGGTTCCCAGCATGCATCAGCACCTATTGTTTGCAACTCTGTATGTGTTAGGTGTTGAAATGACGCTGTTCATCAGTGCTGTTCTGATCTCATTTTGCTCTGATTGTAGGCGAGCACCGAAGTTCAGCTGTCAGAAAAAGCTGATATTTTAATAAATCACTGAAGAGCCACTGCACAGAAACCATCTGCCTGTGTATTAATATTACAAGTCGGTCCTGACAAGGCTATACATACATTACTGACAGTAACATTAGCCCTAGTCTCACATGAAATCTGGTCCGCTTATTTGCCCCAAGAACCACCCACTTGACTGACACGTATACGACCAATCACAGAATGTTTTTACAGTATATACAATGTCTATAGATTGGTAAATCTGAATCTGGACATAACTCTGAGAAAATAAGATATACAGGTGTTCAAGTCAATTCCATAAACCTCAAACATGGTCGTTTTGTTGGTTGGATGGATGGGTGGTTGTTTGGATGGTTGGTTGGTTAGATGGATGGATGATTTGATGGTTGGTTGGATGGATGGATGGATGATTGGATGGTTGGTTGGTTGGTTAGATGGATGGATGATTGGATGGTTGGTTGGATGGATGGATGATTGGATGGATTGTTGGATGTTTGTATGTTTGGTTGGTTGGTTGGATGGATGGATGGAAGGGATGATGGAGGGATGGATGGATGGTTGATTGGTTGAATGGATGAATGGAAGATGGATGGGAGAATGGTTGGTTAATTGAATAGATGGTTGTTTGGATGGATGGATGGAAGGTTGGATGTTTGGTTGGTTGGATGGATGGTTAAAAAGGACAGTTTTTTTGCATCAACAATTTTAATAATTTAATAATTTGGTAACACTTTATTTTGATGGTTCCTTTTGAACATTCTGTTGATAATAAGTACTGTTGCACCTACATGTCAACTAACTCTCATTAGAATATTAGTAGACTGTCCGCTTATTTTCTGCTAACTCTGCTAATTATTGTGATGGTCTCCCAACAGACATTCTACGGACTATAAGTAACTTTGCAAGTACATGTCAACTTATTCTAACCCTAACCCTACCAGTCTACTAATACTCTACTAATTCTCTAGTAAGAGTTAATATACTGTATATGTAGGTGCAACGTTACTTACAGACAACAGAATCATATTTTTCATATTTTTTACACCCCAATCAACACTTAAAAAAAAAATTTTTTTTTTTACAGTACTTCACCATAAAATTATTACTAAAACATATTATGAATTATTCAAAAAATTTTTTCAAGAGAAAAAATGTATTTTCCTGTTTAGTTCATATGGCAAAGTAGCAGTCACATATATGATTTTATTTTACTTCAAGATGCTTTATATTATTTTTGTCGTATTTCTTTAATCTGAACTCAGCTGGCAGTGTTTAGCGTAAATTTAACTGGATGTTTTTATGGTGTGTGATCTGACAGAAAGAGTCAAGAGAAAATGAAGCTCCTTAGAACATGCACAAGACTCTGAGCAACAAAAAACATAATGGCCCAGCCATCTCATCTCACTCTCAGGCAGAAATTGAGCTCCTATCTTTTCCCCTGTTTTTTTGAGGAAGAGATTCATACATGCAGAATCTAGCGTGTCGTTTGTCTTCAGTCATGCGAAATGCCGTCCGTCAGCTTTACTGCAGCCTGGTTTCCTCTCCACACAGTCACGATAAATGATGGAGAACAGAAGCAAAAGACGAGGAAAAGAGAGAGAGAGAGGCAGGGCTGTAATGTTTCTGCACAGATATGGCTTTCAAATACTGGCTTATGTGTTGGAATTCATACGCTATCATTCAAAATGACAAACCAAAATAATACAAGGTTCATTTATCCTGCTGTTTTGGACGGATCCTTTTTACCTCATGGTTTCTACTAGCTACGGAGGCGCAAAAACAGCCCAGCGTAAAGCAAACTATTTTACAACCAATTACATGGAAATAGCCATTACAGCATGTTGGACCTAAAAGACTCAGAGTCCATCAAATAAAACTCAAACAGCCTTGCATAGCCAGACTTTTGACTATCAGCGTAAATACTAGTCCACAAAGCAGCTCATTCAAGCTCCAAAGTCACTTGTGTTGTTTTCTGTCATGAGCACACACTTTCCATAAGTAATCGCAAAATATGAACTGCAATTACAAGGCTAATCTCCTCCGTGTCTACAGGTACAATGCCAAAATTCATTCTCACACAAACTCAATTACACTAAAACTTTTCACAATCTACCAACAAACTACAAGGTGTGTCTAATTTTACGGTTCTCACAATTTTTTTTTGGCTGTTGCTCATTGCTGCTCACTAATCGCTAATCAGGATAGTACACACAGTTGTCTAGTCTAGTCATCTATGCTACAATTTACAATTTATGTACAAAAAAATGTAGTCTTATAATAAACTCTTTGTTTTCTCAAAAAGAGAATCAACATATAAAGCGATTAGCATTACATCCGATTAGTAATTACATCCAGTTTGAAATGCGTCATAGCATCTACAATATAATTTGGGTTTTGTCACAATCTTAAAACGAGATGTACACTTTCTGAACTGGAAGGTATGCAAATTTACTACAAAATATAAACTTTACACAATTAATCACAAAATATGAATGTGATTGCAAGGTCATTCTCCTCCTTGACTGCAGGCACAATGGAGAAATTGAAAATAGGTCGTAACATCTACGCTACAATTTGGAGCATTTTTTGCATACTTAAAACATTAACGTACGGTAGGGTTTGAATGACTTCTGATTTTTTAAAGTCGACTTTTATGTGATGAAAGTCGAGTCGAAGTCGACTAGTCCCTGATGACGTCATTAATGAACAAATAAAGGGGCGGTCACACTGCACTTTTCGTTCCATTGACTTCCATTCATACGTTTATTAAGAAATATATTCTTGAACTTTTCAGTTTCTAAGCTATTTTATTGCGAAATCACAGAACAGTGTTGACAATACATTTCCGTGCTGAATGATTCTGTGTGCGCGCCATCTGCGCGAGATGTACGCGCTACTGTCCTATGTGTGGCCTTTCAAGTGCAGCAGCACATTAGATTAGAACGGCGATTAACTTACCTGTACAATAAGCTGTTTAAAACGTGCATTCTCCCATTCAGTTTCGAGCATCCAGTAATATAATCACACATGTCTTGTAGAGTGCTTTCAGAGTATGCATTTATTTGTCATTTTAACTGTTTGGAAACGGAGCGTAAATGTGGAAGTCCTTCAAAGATTTCTAATCCTGTTGCGCCCTCTATAGGACCAGCGACTAGTCGATGTTAAGCTTAAAGCGTCATGGCAGAGCATTGAAGTCGATTAGTCGATTAGTCGGTGCAACCCCTAACGTACAGGATAAATGTAGGATAATGCTTGTGTTGGTTTAGACAGCAAGACCAATATGTAAAGCAAAATTCATTCTCTCACAAACTCACAATACAAGTTAATTCTTGACAATCTATCAAACTACATGGAGACTGAGTTTGCATTAATTTTTGTTTATCGCAATTGGCGAGTAGGACAGTACACACATTAAATGTCATTAAATCCAGTTTAAAATGTACTTTGGAATCTATGCTACATTTTGAGTTGTTTCCTTTCATACTTAAAAAAATGAGAAATTTTAATTGTGTAACATATGTTTAGTTTTAGACTAGAAAGGAAACATGTAAAGCGATTAGCAGTTAACCGAAATAGGTTTTTCAATGGCTGACAATATCAGGTTGGCCGATTATAATGTCGATACATGTATACCACAATTTAATGATAGACTCTTTGAACTGAACAGAGCACACAAATTCACAACAAATATCCATCAACAAATATCCATCAACAAAGCTGAAAAAGCGCAAACAATCCCACAATCTTCTCAAACTTTTCCTCAGAAATGGTTATTTTAGCCACCCAGTAATTTGTAAACAGGACAAACCAATAAAACCGTGAACCATGAATTCCATAAAGCCAGCCAATCAGATTACAGCTCGACAGGCGGTGCGCGAACGACCCGTGGGCGTGTCATCCGAAGCTGATACGTGTCAGTGGGCGTGTTTGTTCTGCTCCGGCTGGGTTTGTGGGTGCGGACACATTTGGACGTCTCCTGGTGGCCCTGAACGGTTCAGACGAACCCCTGTAAACTCCTACGGAAGCTGCTGTCTGTCAGATATGCTGATATCACTCACCTCTCTCACAGACTGTCAACGCGGCACCTCTTTTATTTCGAAATCAACTCTATTTCTTTTCTGGCACATTGGCTTTAATATGATTTAAAGTGTAGCTGCAGGAGTCGGCAGTATACTGAGGAAAAATACCGTGCCAGCACTTACATAACATCACAGAAACACAAATCACTCGCTCTGTAGGAGAGGCTGAGTTGTACTCACGGGCAGTAAATACTTCTCTGCTCTTTAGGATGGAGGCTGCTGGTTCACAGTGAATCGTGCAGGAGACAGAGACACGTTCTCTCCCACATCCACATTCCCCTGTCTTAATGTCTCCTCAGTGGAAAATCCCAGAACAGATGAAACTGCAATGAGAAAAACAAAGCAGACGAGAATATTTCAGGACTAATGCTACAGTATGTCATCATTTGGGTGCATTTCATTGGATTGAATTATCTTAGAATATATATTTATTAACCACGTTTGCAAATAAACATCACTATTGGTACTATTACTCAAACTGAGGGTTAAGGATTTGAAGAAACGCCAAACTACTGAAATTTGAAACATATCTCACCCTGCATGCTACAGAAATGAATGATATCTCAAATTAAAAATGTGCTATTACTTTCCTATGTTATTGGACTTGGGTTTTTCTTCAACTATGGACACTTTTGTTCCGGTGGACTTTTAAGACAAAGTCTTAAAAATGTAATCTCACCTCAGTGTTATTTCCATCAAATCTCAAATTACATATTTTTTTAAAGCATTTTGTGGTGTAAATGCATTTTAAACATTTTTGGAACAAAACGGATTATGTCTTTGCCTGTTTCACAGCATTAAATGATATTTTGGACAAAATTACAGCTTGACTGGAAATGAAACACGATAAACATTGTTCACAAGTGATATTTACCCTGGTTTTGTGATATTTACCTAGATTTTACTTTGTTTTCTTCACACATCACGTCTCAGATTTCATCTCAAGCTTAATTCGGGGCAAAAATGTTGGTTGTTGTGAAAATGACAAATGAGGGACATTCGTGAGGATTTTTTATTTAGATGTATCAAAGTTCTAAACGTAGAAGTTCATATTTTAATCAGTTTTATTGTAAAAATATAAATGATTACATTCAAGATCTAATATCTGAGAGTAAAACAACACAAAACGAAATCTGTTTTTTTTTCTTTTCAATAAAAATCAGGCCCCAAGTTGAAGAAACACCCACATAATGCCTTGCACCTGATGGATGATAAAACGTGACAATCCCATAGACTTACAAGCAAATACTTGAACCGTATCTAGTGAGCAGAATGTTACAGACTTTAATGCCTTAGCAACCACACAGACCACCCTAGCAACTGTGTTAAAAACCCCTTAGAGCAACTTGGCAACCTCATGGTGACCCAAAACAATATTTTTTGCTGTCGAGAAAGCAGTCATAATAAAGTCCCCCAAGAAATATTTCAGCGTCAAGCCTTAACGCATCCGCTACATATATTTTAAATTACAGTAAGCTCCATTACATGTATCCTCACATGGCTGCAGCAGATGTGACCGTTTCTCAAGGTTTAACAGCACTCAGTCTATTTTAAATGAGACCTTATATTATATTATTATATTATAACTCATAACCCTTCCATTTGATTGGCTCTGCTGTGAGCGTCCACTGCTACTGATTGCCTCCGCTGGGAGGGTCGCTTGTTTCCTCTCTAATTGGTCAGAAGGTGCGTAATACAGAAGTCACACACATGCTGCGAGACCATCTCGGCCACCTTTCATTTTCCGAGCGAATTTCCCGCTGCGGCTTCATCTCCACCTGAATCCCACCAGCACACATCGTCAAAGCCACTTCCTGTTTTGCAGCTCCCTGCACGGTGGTATTTCTAATAGCCCTGAATGTGCAGAATTTATATAATGCCAAGACTTGTTTATTACAAACTGTCGAGATATCATTATGTTTCTCCACTAACTTCACAGGACAAAAATGGATTAGCAATCTATCTAGAGTTACACAAGGGTTGCGGCTCTCCCAAATGACAATTTAATGTTTAAATGAGGTTTTTGTGAAACTAAAACACCCATTTAGCTTCACAAGCAAGAGTTCCTAGGTCAACCGGCATTAATGTGCGCTGGGAAATTCATACTAAGTTCAACAGGTTATCAGTAACTCACTCTCAGCTACGTGAATGAAAGAAAATCTCATTGTAATGCTGAGAAGTATAGCTTTTTTCTTAGTAAATAAAGAGCTGTTGCACAAAACACTCTATAACAGTAAAGTTAATGAAAATGCATGCTGCTTTCAAACAGAAGACTATGGTAGCAAGCCAGAGACTACAACTAAATCATCTATGAAAATAGCCTGAATGGGTTTGAGAGAACAAAAGCAGGACTGGATTGACCAAATGGGCATTTGGGCACATACCCAGTGGCACCATGTTTAAGCGGGCAACATGGGAGGCCAGAAAGATGAAAAAGATTGATAAACGATGGATAAACGCAGCTTGGAGGTAACATTATGGCTCATATTTTGCTCTTTAAGAATATGAGTTTTCAGTTATTAACTTGCTGAGCTACAAAATTAATATGAGCACAGTTTGAGATCTCTTCTAAAACTCCAAAAGCCAGATTATTAGATGAAATTATTAAGGTCTTCAGAAATAATTTTTTTCCCGGCCAAAATATATTTCAAATATATGCTAAATATCGGTTTTATTGTAAAAACAGCTCTGATTCGAGTCCAAATAAAACAAAAGCTTTTGCTTTGCCATCAACCCTTGGAGGCTGACAAAATACTTTCTTTTTAAAGCAACAATTGTGCACAAAGCCATTTACAACAGATGTTCCGGCCCGAAAATATCCTGTTCTCCATATCCTGATGCGGAAATTAACCTGTGACCCGCAATAAAATCAAAGAAGCAATTACAGACTCATAAATTTACTTGTTTGCTGTGTCGAAAAGTCGAGTGGCATGCTAAGAGCCAAACCATGATCTCTGGATATTGGAAAAGCAATCAAACGGAAGACTAATTAATGAGCTTTTGAGTTATTGCTCAACTTGACACGAATCCTCACGGGAAAGGAGTTGAATCTAATTCTGAGATAAGTCATAAACATTCTTACAGACAGAAGATGCTCTCTGATCAGTTGCACAAAGACGATTAAACGCATCAGGATATCAGATGTTTTAGGAGTTGGAAATTAAAGCTCTTGAGTTCTTGTTAGTCAGAATGCATGTGTGGCCCAATAACTTTGAGTTACGACGACCAAAGGTCATGCTATAGAGCAAATGTCAAGATTTTCTGTGAACAAACTAAATTATAGTTAGTTCCTCACACAAAAGACTTGAAGGAATATTTCACCCAAAAATAAACATTTGCTGAAAATCTACTTACCATCAGGCCATCCAAGATGTTGACTGAGTTTGTTTCTTTATTGTTTACAGATTTGGAGAAATGTGGCATTACGTCACTCACCAATGGATCCTCTGCAGTGAATGGGTGCCGTCAGAATGAGAGTCCAAACAGCTAATAAAAACATCACAAGAATCCACAAGTAATCCACACCACTCCAGTCCATCAGTTAACATCTTGTGAAGCAAAAAGCTGCATGTTTGTAAGAAACAAATCCATCATTAAGACGTTTTCAACTTTAAACCATTGCTTTTAGCTAAATATGAGTCCTTTGTCCATAATATTGCTTTCTCTTGTGAAAAAGTCATCTCATCTGAAACAAGAGAAAAATATTTATGGATCAAGCACCGTTTACAAGCGAAAACCATTCTCAATGAATATGTGGGTGGATTTTGATGTGAGAGGACAACGGGGGATGGACTTTTTCACTGGTATTTTGGCCAGAAGCGAAAGTTTAAAGTTAAAACACCTTAAATAAACGCCTTAACGCTGGATTTGTTTCTTACAAACATGCAGCTTTTCGCTTCACAAGATGTTAACTGATGGACTGGAGTGGTGTGGATTACTTGTGGATTCTTGTGATGTTTTTATCAGCTGTTTGGACTTTCACTCTGACGGCACCCATTCACTGCAGAGCATCCATTGGTGAGCAAGTGATACAATGCTACACTTCTCCAAATCTGTTCCGATGTAGATGGCCTGAGGGTGAGTAGATTTTCAGCAAATGTTCATTTTTAGGTCATTCCTTTATGATGAAGGATGAAACATATTAGATTACTTTTATGATGCTTCTGCATCATTTTTGAAGCTTAAAAGCCTCTTTTTGTTTTCTGAAAAAAGGTCATACATGAAACAACATAAGAGTAAGTAAATGACAGAATATTCATTCTTATGGTGAACTGTCCCTTTAAACAGACACACACCCAGTGTAAACACACCACATCCTCATTGATATATTTGACTGGATCTCTTTTAATTACTCAACAGCCTTATGAGCATTTCTGATCTCCCAGCTGTCCCCTGTGTCACGCACAGGAGAGTGATTACCACACACCGAGTGCCATTCGCAAGGCCGCTGAAATCAAATGACACAATTGAGAGGTATGCCGCAATATTTCGGCTTTCTGCTGCAAATGAGATCCTGTTAAAATACTGAGAAGAATTTAATTCCCCATCATTCCAGTTAATGGCCGCCGGCATTTTGCGGTAGGGCACATATGAGAATTACTCCATTCTTCTTCTGCAGTTAGGGCCATCTATCAGTCCGAGCATAATTATTCCCTGGGTGCCAGAAAGCTGACAGGCCTATTGCCGGCTCACTCTCCATAGAATAGGGTCTAATCTTGCCAGTGAGCTGTGTGGCGAAGCGGCCTTCAGAGCCTGGCACACATGAATGGAATGGGGCGGGGCTTACAGACAAGCAGGGGAGTGTTGATTGGGCTGTCAGGCTGTGTGGGTGGAAGCTTACTATTAGATTCTCATTTATCTCAATGGCCCGGCTATCACCTGAGCTGTAAATATGACTAACCAGTCTGGAGTCACAGGAAATTATGTCATGGTGGATGGCACAATCCCAAGCCCTCAATAGGGACTATCCTGCACTGAGACGTCAAAGCAACAGACAGGGTAAAAGTCAAATTTTTTTTCATTTATTTGTTAAACATTTCATGCCTTTAAGAAGATTTTTATGTGAAAATCAGTGTTGTTTTTGTAAACTAAAACCGAAACTATTAAAAAAAATAATTTTCATTAATCAAAATAAAGCTGAAATAAAAAATTAAAAAATAAGATTTAAAAAAAAATCTTGGCTTCTAACTGTTGAAGTACTAAAAACTAAAAAATAAATTAAAGCTAAATGGAAAACTTTTAATGTAACAAAGGGTAAAAGTCAAGCTTTCTTTAAACTTTCTTAAAAATGTCATGCTTTTAAGGATACTCAAAAAAGATTGTTACATGTACATGTTACAAACACGCGTTTTTATTGTTTTATTGTTTACTAAAACTGATACTATTACAAGAAAATGTTCATTAATTGAAATAATAATAATAATAATAATAATAATACAAATAGTAGATGAAAAACTTAAACTTGGCAACTGACTATCAAAAAATCTTGGCTTCTAACTTTTGAAGTACTAAAGGTACTAAAACTACAAATTAGATTAAAACTAAACAAAGATTTAATGTAAAGCTAATAAAAAATGACAAAAGCACACAAAATTTCTAAAATAATAGTATATAAAATACTAAAATAACACTGATTAATATATACATATTAGTGCTGTCAAACGATTAATCGCGATTAATCGCATAAAAAAAGATTTTGTTTACATAATATATGTGTGTATACTGTGTATATTTATTATGTATATATAAATACAATGCATGTAAATATTCATGAAAAATATATTGTTTATATGTTAAATATATTTATATATAATATAAAAGAATATAAATATATGCATGTAAATACATGTAAATATTTTCAAAATATTCACTGTATGTGTGTGCATTTATATATACATAATAAATATACACAGTACACATACATATATTATGTAAACAAAAACCTTTATTTTGGATGTTATTAATTGCGATTAATCGTTTGACAGCACTAATACATATACATTTTAGATATATATATATATATATAAATAAAAATTAATCACCAAACATATTATATTATAATATTATTATTAATGTGATAAAACACACTAGCAACCATCTATAAAAACACCCAGAACACAGCAGAAACTGCATCCATCCATCCATCTATCAGTCTCAGCCTATCTGTCCATCCATTGTTTAAACTTCAAGCTTTTAAAAAATACTTCAAACTTAAAGCTACTTCAAGCTTAAAACCTTCAAACTTTTAATAAGATTTAAAAATTTCATGCGTTGTAAAGTCAACATCAAAGTTGTAGACAAACTTTACTTTCTAGTATGTTATTTAATGTGTGATTTATTGCAAATCATCTGAATGGTTAAAACAAGCAGAAGCAAGGTGATGGAAACAGAGGCAGGCAGGGATGAGATGACTGGGGAGGAGCAATGTGCGGGGCTTAGAGCTAGAGCAGGAGATGGTGGGCGGGGTTAAAAGTCAAGGAAGGGTGAGTAACAACAGCAGCGTGTCTGAAGCCAGAACCCGCTGGCCTCTTGCCCTCCTCCTCTGGGCAGAAGCATTTCTATTCACAGCTGACTTCAACCTCCTCTGAACACCTGCCTCAGCGTGGCTGTGTTCAGGGGGAAAAATGACATCCTCTACTGTTACCTAAAAACTCAGAAATCTTTCTCCCTGACAGGAGCCATGCTGTGCTCTAAGCTCTCATGCTCGTCTGTTTGAAGCTCCACATTTTATATTCTCAAAGGGCATTTATTGTGTGTGACACCTTTCCAAAGATTCTGTCAGGACACTCTGTCAGAGCATTTTACATGAAATATATTTCTATAAGACTTGATCAAACTCACCACTGCAATGACGCTGTGATGAATCTATTAAGGAGAAGACAGATGACTCAGAAAGTCTGTTTTTCACCATTTATTTACTAAAGAAGGGAGCTTTCATACAAGAGCTTTATTTGTGGAGCATGTGTCATGAAAGCGAGTTTCCACCATGTTGTTATAGATAGATAGACAGACAGACAGACAGACAGATACGTAGATAGACAGACAGACAGAAGATAGATAGATAGATAGATAGATAGGCCATTTATTTACTAAAGAAGGGAGCTTTCATACAAGAGCTTTATTTGTGGAGCATGTGTCATGAAAGCCAGTTTCCACCATGTTGTTATAGATAGATAGACAGACAGACAGACAGACAGATACGTAGATAGACAGACAGACAGAAGATAGATAGATAGATAGATAGATAGGTAGATAGGTAGGTAGATAGATAGATAGATAGATAGATAGATGATAGATAGATAGATATTTGTGCAATTCTGAAAAAAGTCAAAATTGAGAGATATAAACAGAATTGTGAGATATAAACTCACAATTCTGAGGAAAAAAGTCAGAATTGCGAGATATAAACAGAATTGTGAGATGTAAACTCAGAATTCAAAGAAAAAGTCTGAATTGAGATAAACTTAGAATTACGAGAAAAAAATAACAGAATTGTGAGATGTAAACTAAAACTTCAGAGGAAAAAAAGTCAGAATTGCGAGATATAAACTAAAGAATTCTGACTTTTCCTCTCGCAATTCTGAGTTTATCTCACAATTCTGTTTTCAATTCTGTTCTGACTTCATTTGCAACTGCAAGTTTATATCTCACAATTCTGTTTATATCTTGCAATTCTGAGTTTACTGTATATGAGAACTGAGGTTTAAAAGTCGATTCTGTTTTCAATTCTGTTCTGACTTCATTTGCAACTGCAAGTTTATATCTTGCAATTCTGAGTTTACTGTATATGAGAACTGAGGTTTAAAAGTCACAATTCTGAGATAAAAAGTCGTAATTACCTTATTTATTTTTTACATCACACGATCGAAACAAGCTTCCATAGTCATCAGAGTAGATTGTGAATGCGAGATTCATTTTAGTGAAGCAGTTTGTTCAGTCGTACATATCGTACAATATGTAACATTTCAAAGTTTGATTTATTTTAGTGAAACAATCTGTTCAGGTTTAAACAAATGATTCACTGAAAATATATGCATTTTATTTAGTGTAAATGTATCTGTTTGAATTTAATTTGATCAGCTTGGTAAACTTCAGCTTTAAAGCAGCTTCTTCAACAGTGTCACATTTAATTCATTTTCTCTCCCAATGTTCAGATGAAAAACACATCTGAATACTCAGAGAAAATATCTCACATCCACAGAACCACATTTGTCCATTCTTACAGTAATCATACTTCAGGTTTATTCCTGAATGGAAGTGATTTCTGGTAATTTTAATGTACCAAGAGTCTGAATTCGGCCACGTTAACTAACACAGGAGATGGAACATGGAGTTCTGCTCTAGAGCTGCACACAATAGACGCAATGTTTCCTGACGCTGTAGAGGTAAAGCAGCGGTAATGAGTTCTAATGTGATGGAGACATGAATCAAAACCCCCCTCTAGCCCACCCAAAACACATCCACAACAGCAGCCAGAGAAATAACCATTACTTGCACTCCAACCACCAGTGATGAGTGATGATTTAATTTAGTTTGTTCTGGGTTTTTTAATGTGGAAAGAATGTGATGCGTCACATTGGACCTTATGTGGCTGTTTATATCAGTTATACGGAGGCCTTCAAAAGCTCAATTGTATCTGCATGCGTGCCACTGTAATAAAGCACACTTTTCTAAATGAAAACTGCAATGTAGGAGGCGGAAATAGGATTTGAGTGGCTTCATAATGTCATTTTTAATACTTACAGTATTAGATTCGCCCAAATCCTAAAAATCTATCCATCCATCCATCACACACACACACACACACATACACACACACACACACACACACACAGTGGTGGCTGGTGAAAATACTAGTGTTCTAATAATTTTGTCCACCACTGTATAGTTTCAGTAGTCATGAAAATTTAAGTGAAAGTTACAATCCTGTACACGACCAGATTTTAAGCTTTTGCTAAGACACACTTGTAGGCATCCGCTGAGAACGGAGAACTGCAGACAGACGGATACAATCAATTGTGCTTTCGGAAATCCAATTCACTGAATTCCTTAAGTTCAACCTGACCTGGCTCTTTTCACAGCATTTCAAGCGAATCTTATGATTTTCTATCCATCAAATGCTCCATCAATGCTTTCTTTGGCATATAAATGGCCTTTTTCAACCAGCAGCAATAAAATACTCAGCTGGGCTTCTGCTTGAACTTGTATTGTAAGTCGTTGAGATGTTTTATCAAACCTGTAGACATGCATCAGCAAACCAGACACCGACTGTCTCGGCTCATGACACCTCTGGACTAAATTTAGCAGGATATTCAGGTAGAATATCACGACACCTGATGACAGACAGCCTTACACAACCACACCATTAATTTCCAACTTATAATTCGGAATTCTTGTGGTATAGAGCATAAAAAGTATCTGTTTTTCAGTGGCAACTGGCCTTGATGACTTATTCATTAAAGCCAACGATGGCAGAACAGACGGAAGTGCCTGAATACCCAAAAACTTTACAAAGTGCTTGTAATCTGATGACCTCAGATTTTGAAACGGCAAAATCTCCTCTACACTTCCACTGTGAATAAAACCCCCCTACAGCAGACGTCTGGATAACAAGATCTTCGATTTTAAAGTGTACAATCAGGGTGTGAGAAATCTGTTACTTCAAGCCATGGGGCAAAAGGGGAAACAAACAGCATATCAGTGCACTGTGTGTAGTACTGCTTTTGGTTCACAGCATGCTTTATTTAAGCGGACCTGCATGACAAAGCTGTCTAGTCCAGTTCAGTGTCCAGTCACACGGTCTTAATTTCTTTAGAGTGTGTGTGGTTTGGAGTGTGTATTGAGTTATCATAAATCTGGATGTGTCGATGATACGACTTTCACTGCTGACCGCAGATGATCAGAACATTTGAGCTGATCGGGACAAAACTAAGATTCAAGGCCGAGGCTACTGCTGCTGTTCTAGACGATTCAGATGCTAAAGTAAAGTTGCATGTTTTTAGGAACATGACCTGTATTGTGAACTAAATTTTCATTTTTAAAATGGCTGACTTAACATATCTTCTGAACCCTAAAGTATGCAACAATTGAGTTTGGAAGCTACAATTTCTCAAACGACTTACTCTACATCTGTTCTCAACCCTATACTCTAACGATTGAGTCTGGATTCTCTTTAAACTCTACAGATTCTCAAACGACTGACGCTACATCTATTCTGAACCTTAGACGACTCAAACAATTGGGTCTGGATTCATTCTGAACTCTTCAATTTATCAAATGCTTAAAGGCAGAGTAAGTGATTTCTGGTCGCCAATGTTGATATTTGAAATCACCAAAACAAACACGCCCCTACCCCAAAAGGGTCTTGCCCCTATTTTGATAGCTCTGCCCCACATATACGTACGCAACCCAGGCAACGATTCGTTCTGTGAAACAAAGCAAAACCAATGTTACACCGTGTCTACGGACGTGAGCGGCTCGGCGCAACAAATCCCCGACAGAAAACTGCTGTCGGGTTCTATTTATGACGTGCTGACACACATTTCAAATGGTTTTCAACGGTCGTTTGACCTCTTTCTCGCGTCCAGTGTAGGCAGACTTTAGTTGTTGTAGACACGGTGTTACTCACCTATTGAGAAGAAACAAAGCAACCTCGGTGTCCGATCGCAGGCCTCCGCTCCTTGTGTTCTCTCCAGCGCTGGAAAGCTGATCCAATATTTACACGGGTCCTACTTCTTTGCCTTATCGTTCCGCAGACGTTTTCCTCTTTTGTTTTTTATCCGCCATCTCTATCTGTCTGTCGCTCGGCTCGGCTAATGTCCGCCCCATGCACTGAAAGCTCTCTCCTCCACATCACGAGTAGACACGCCCCTTATTGCTGATTGGCTACAAGTTTGTTTTGCTATTCGGCCCGAATCAGTTTTCTAAAGTGTTTTTGAAAAATCACACACCTGCCTTTAAGTCTACATCTGTTCTGTATCTCAGAATGATCAAACTTCATGTTTCCAAACTGTTCTGAACCCTATACTTAAACCAATGAGACTGTATTCACGTTGAACGCTACAATTTATTAAACGACTGACTCTACATCTTTTCTGAATCTTAGAATACTTATATGATTGAGTCTGGATTCATTTTAAGCACTACAATTTCTCAAACAATTGACTCTTCATCTTTTCTGAAAGCTATACTCTAACAATTAAGTCTGGATTCAATTTGAACTCTACAGATTCTCAAATGACCAAATACATCTGTTCTGAACCTTAGAATACTGAAACGATTGAATCTGGATTCGTTCTGAACTCTTCAATTTATCAAATGCTTAAGTCTACATTTGTTCTGAATTTTAGAATACTCAAACTTCAATTTTCCAAATGACTGACTCTACATCTGTTATGAACTTTAGAATACTCATATGATTGAGTCTGGATTCATTCTAAATTCTTACATTTCTCAAATGATTCATTCTAAACTCTAAAATTTTCCAAATGGTTGACTCTACATCTGTTTTTAATCTTATACTTAAACGATAGAGTCTGTATTCACTTTGAACTCTACAGATTCTCAAATGATTGACTCTGCATCTGTTCTGAACCTAGAATACTCTTATTATTGAGTCTGGATTCATTCTAAGCACTACAATTTCTCAAATGCTTAAGTCTACATCTGTTCTGAATCTCAGAATACTCAAACATCAGTTTTCCAAACGATTGGGTATACATCTGTTTTGAATCCTGTACTTAAACAATTGAGTCTGGATTCACTTTGAACTCTTCAATTTATTAAATGATTGCCTCTACATCTGTTCTGAAGCTTAGAATACCCATGTTTGAGCCTGGATTCATTCTAAACACTTCGATTTCTCAAACAGTTGAGTCTATATCTGTTCTGGACTTTAGAATTTTCACTTTGAACTCTTCATTTTATAAAACGAATGACTCTGAAATCTGGCACGAACCCTATACTCAAATGATCAAGTCTGGATTCATTCTAAACCCTACAATTTCTCAAACGATTGACTCTACATCTGTTCTGAACACTATACTCAAACGATCAAGTATGGATTCACTCTGTACTCTAGCATTTCTCAAACGATTGACTCTACATTTGTTCTGAATTCTAGAAAAGGCAAACAATTGTCTGGATTCACTCTGAACTCTACAATTTCTCAAATGACTGACTCTACAACTGAGTCTAACCTCAACAATTTATCAGACAAAACTCTTAAATACTGACATGACTGACCCTAAATCTGTCCTGAACTACAGAACTACAAAATTATCAGACAGTTGGCTCTTGATATGAACTCAGTACTCAAATGATAACTCAAACGATTGAGTATAGGTTCTTTTAGAACTCTAGAATTCTCAAGACAGTTGTCTCTATATTCATTCTGAAATCTCAGAGTAAATTCAGTTATGATCTAATTAGAACACAACAATTCTCAGACATTTAACTTAAGATTCATTTTGAACTCGAGTTCACAAACATATGCTGTTTGGAGTATTAGATGAACCCACTTTCAAACACTCTCACACACACACACACACACACACACACACACACACACACACACACACACACAGAAATGGCTTTTCTGAGCTTCAGATTGCCTCTGAACACTAAAAAAACCCTTAATTTCATCCCATCTGAATGATTAATAAGGCCAGCAAATATTTTATCACAAATGCAGCGATTCTGAGGACTTGCGAGTTGAGCTCAGCAGCAGATGGCACGAGCTGCTGAAGGTTTTTTATCATGAATATAAAGAATAAAAATGCTTGTGGAAGGACTTTAACTTCGCTCACCAGCAGAACGCGCTGAAAGTGCAGTGAAGCGGCTTTCTCCTCTTACCTTCAGATGAATGAGCAGTTAGAATGAAACGACTCATCGGGCTAATCGAGAATGAGAGAGAGAAATGAGAGGAGAACGGGAGCCTCTAGAAGCTCCTCCATCAAAGTCCAGTTTGCACCACGAGCCCATGGAAATGGTAGCCAAGCTTATACAGACTTTCTGAAAAACTGAACAAGCCATACCTAAAATAAATCCACATTATCATGTTTGGATAAGTGAAAGTCAAATGTGTTTATTAAAAATACGTATCACCTGTTATGCACTCCATGACTGTCGTTTAATTGATGTAGCTCTCTTAGTTGAAAATTAAATGGTAGTTGAGATCAGACCAGCAGGAGTCTCATAACTCCTATGATCATGATATGATTTGAATCTGTGTTTGAGCAGAAGCTCAGGAGTCAATCCTCGCTGTTTGAATACCCTTATCAATGCCCTGGAAGTGAAGACAGAGGATTGTGGGCCGTAAAGGGCCAGCGGCGCTGACAGCGGGCAAATAATGGCTCAGTCCAGCCATCACCCCCCGAGATAAGAGCTGCCATTCAGAGAGACTGACACACCAAAGACTGTGAATTCAGCCATTCTAGTGCCCTCAAATGTACAAAAGACTTCATTTATCATTCTTAATACTCTTTAACAACCTCAGACCGGTGGATCAGGACGTTCCTGGAGGACGTTCCGCCAAGAACCACCTAATGAAAGCATAATATCACTTAATTAATTATATTTCTGTAATCATTAAAATAATTATAGATATAATAATAATATTAATAACAATAATAAGGGATGCACAATATTGGATTTTTGCCTTTATCCGATATGCCGATATTTTTCAACTCATTTTGGCCGATAGCCGATGACGATTCCGATATATTTCCTTTTGTTTGGAAACAACACCAAGTCTCTCCTGTGCAGAAATTATGAGCAAATTATTTTTTAATTTTGGTTCGTTTTTAACAAGAACTTATTTGTTAGAATTAAATA